ATTTGTTTGATGATCTGAAACATTAAAGTGTGACAAACATGCAAAAAAATAAGAAATCAGGAAGAGGGCCAACACTTTTTCACAAATATATATATACTGACTCCAAGCTTTTGAATTGTATAGAATATTGATTATTGATAACAATAATAATCAGTAATGTTTCTTGAGGAGCGAATCAGCATATTATTATGAAGATCATGTGTCATGTGACACTGAAGACTGGAGTAATGATGATGAAAATTCAGCTTTTGTATCACAAGAATAAATTACATTTGAAAATATAGTCAATGTTTTTGCTGTATTTTGGATCAAATAAATGCAGGCTTGGTGAGCAGAAGAGACTTCTTTAAAAAACAATAAAAATCTTACTGTTCAAAAACTTTTGACTGGTAGTGTATATTTTTTGTAAAATTTTACATTTAATTATTTTTGTAAAATAATAAATATAAAAATACCCAGTGAAACAATGGGTGTCTTTTTTATTCATCTTTAAGTATGTAGAGGATCTGGACACATTTCATATCAAGCTGTGGTGAACAAGGCCTGAAGGTCAATGTCATGTTACTTATATAATCTATCAATGCAAGCAATCTTTATTCAGCCTATGTATGTGTAGACTACTGCATATGGAGAACTGTTGATTCTGTCATTCAAATGTTAACACTTTATGATAAGTGGAACACATCTTTAGAAAATTAAATGACAAATATACAATACCAACTTTTACAATAATTTTACATACTTTTACAATACCAAAATCTAATTGTCCCCTTTAAATTTGATACATTTAAATTTTGCCTTGGGTAGGTCAAAATCGATCGTAATAAATGTGACTTTATCTCAGTATATAAATGAACAAGGTAAGGTTTAAAAGTTTTGATTAACAATTAGCCTACTTTAATCAATGCAAGCGTTTTACAGGCTGTTGTGATGACAAAATCAGCTCCGTATATTAGACATATTAAATATATATTAGATTTAAGTTGAGTCATTTTAGCCTAGACATCCTTTACAAAAATAAGAAAACGTGTACTAGTAAAACGAAGGACAACAATATTTTATTTAGATCCTCTAAACTTCCATAAATTGCTTCGACATACTTCCGGGTTTCCCCTGTACGGGGATGGGGAAATCACAAGGTGACGTATTTGATATGGGCGTGGCTTCTGACGTCACACTTGGACATGGGCGGAGTTGTATCGGGGATGGGCGTGACTTCTGACGTCACACGTGGATGTGGGCGGGGTTGGATGTCCACCGCAGGCTGCAATTCTACTACATGATGTATTTTGACAAAATAATTCACATAAGGTTGCAAGAATTATTTTTTTTGTTTGTTTTTTTTAGAAAGACTTTTGATAATAGGCGGCTAAATGTATATTGGGATCAAAGCGATGTGAATTGGTAAGCCATGCAATGCCAGAATAAAGGCTAATAATGGCTGAATAAAAACAAAAGAATAATGATAAAAGAATAATGAGGATTATGTCTCATACCTGGCGGAGGTGTGAAAGGTTCATCGAGTGAGAACTATTTTTGTACATATATTTTCTACAAATATAATTTGTCAATTTTTTTGTATATACCGTTAAAATAAATAAATAAAAAATAACGATAAGAAAATGGTCCAACGACTGGTAGCAACCGCTGTCAAACAAAACAAAAAAAAAAAAGTAAAATATCCTAATTTAAATAATATGCAAAAAAAATTAAAATAACGGAAATTTTCATTGAATGTTTTACAAAAGAGGTATTTCCTGAATTATTATGATGAGATACCTTCACTTTAAAATAAAATGGTAAAAAATGGTCAAATGAGAGGCAGTGATGACTACGAAAGAAAAACATAAAATTAAAGTTAATTATCCTAATTTAAATAAAGGGCAAACAATTTGTAAAGAAATTTTCATTTAATTTTCATTTCATTTCAATTTTCAACACTTTAACGAAAAAACACTGGTATTTTACACATTTTTCCTGAATTATTTAATTGTAAAACACACGTGTGTGAGAGCTGATGTATATACAGACATCACTGCATTAGTGACTGCACAGTTATTGTCTTAAATAAAGAAACATGCAGTATTACATCAATGCTTTCCGGTTCATCCTGGACTGAAGCACTGGATCTACTTTAAAGCACAATGGTGATCCACAGAACTCAACAAAAACCCTTTAAATCCCAACAATGTTAAACACTTACAGATCTCAAGATCTCAGCAAAGGAGAATTAAACAACTCCACAACAACTCAACAACATTACCAGCTTCACTCATTACTAACCAGATTGACTTTATTTATTTCATACAAAAGTTCTTATTGAGAATTTGCAGAGGTTTAGATATTGCATTTTTATTGAAAATAATCAAGTTTGATGTTACCATTTGATGTCAAAAATGCTCACGTTTGCAGCGCACACTTCTTTTTTTCATGTTACCATTTGACGTCACTTCCTGTTTGTTGCTGCAGTGTGTTTTGAGTTTGAGCTCCGTCAAGTTAATTCTTTGTCGTCTAATTTTTTTATCTTAAAATCAATTTTATACACCATCATTTTCGTTTCTATAACGTGTGAATATATCCCCTATCGTATTCTACAACAAAAAACAATCAGAGCGCCTTGTTATCACTAGTTTTATTTTGATTTCCCGAGACCGCTATTAGCATATAGCCCATTAGCATCACCAGCGTGGTTGCCGCTAATCTCGCTTACATTGCTAATACTCTATTCACACACATTACCATTGTTTTACTCACTGTTACTTGCTTTAATGGCGGATGT